CGAAATACAATTGGGTAAACTGGCAGTGGGCGGGTTTCACAAACCAAAACAGAGACCGACATTCCGGCCCAGAACGCACATTTTCAAAGGAGAATAACTGACTAGCATTGTTTTTTAGATAAACAAGTATGTTAACTTAGCATGTTTCTTAAATATCTGCAAGCATATTATGGTATTTTTATGCTTTATTAGAGTCAAAAATTTACATACAGCACCTTTAAGGTATAGGTTTTATCAAACTCGCCCATTCCCTGGGAATTGAACTCATGACCTTAGCATTGTTATTGCCATGCTCTACTGTTTGAGCTACAGTAATATAGACAAAATCAGAGACCTTTCCTGGGATCTGTTTCATATTCTTATACATATTCTTAAAGCAGATGAAAACAGGGACTTATTTCTTTACACCAGCAGTTCTCAACTGCTCTAATAGGGCTGTGGACTGCAGGGAAAACGACGCTAAAGGCAAATAATAAAAATGGCACACTCATAAAAAAATTGTGTGGCAGCATTATTATTTGCATTTTATTGTATTGCATTGTATCAGATTTATATTAGTATCATTGAAATATTATTACAGTTTTTATTAATATTTTGAATTATTTTTTTTATTTTTATATTATTTGGTTAGGGTTAGACTTTGTGTGTGTGTGTGTGTGTGTGTATTTATCAAGCCCTACACTATTTGCCTTTTTTATCCTGTTTTTATCCTGTTTCCTGAAATCGAAAAACTGAAGTAAATGAGTTGCAAATGGTAATCCTGACTTTTAAAAAGGCACATTTTTAAAACTGGAAACGGTTTCTACTTCACTCTGGCTGTTTGTGTATCCAAAAACAATGCTAAATGCAAATAATAAAAAAATGTACATATTTTGAATTAGTTTTTTTTTTTTTTTTTCATTTTCATAATATTCAGGTTTTTTTTGTTTCATTTTTGTAATTTTGTTGTGTATTTTGTCATTTTTATATCATGTATATATATATTTTTATTTTTGTTCAGTTAAAGTTTATTTTATTTAAACTTTTTATGTTCTTAGTTTTAGTTGTTCTTTTAGAATTAGTTAACTATAATATTCCTGCATTGCTTTGCAGAATATAAAATTTTTTCCCTTTCCAGTCTTTGTCATGTTAATAATTATGTGTATTGCTGGGCCCGTGCCGGTGTTCAGGGTCAGGGTCAGGTATCCGGTTGGTGTCAGGTGAAACCAGCCTAATTACAAAAGGCTTCCTTAAGATTGATTAGTTGACTAGTCATTCAGAAATGTTTTTTTTTTTAGCATGCTGTTTTTTTTTTTAGCATGTAACACAGAGGTTTCTCTGTCCTACTTGAGGCTTTTGCGGGTAAAACGTTCACCTGTGGAGCTCCGCTGTTGCTTTGACACTGAGTATGTAAAGCAGCTGTGCACGTGGGGCCACCGGTCACTGTGTGTGAGGCTCCGCGTGGGAGTCATATGTGCCGGCGTGCAGAAGCCGTTATCAGTTGATCCCTGTCATTATCGGTGCTCTTCAAACAAACAGTTGGAAGCCCATTACCAGCACTTACCGTGTGATAGCATCTCAACTGAGCCCTCAAATGCTCCTGAAACCTTTTACCAATCAGGGGAGGAGGCCTCGTTTTAAGCCGCCAAGAGGGATGTTTTGAAAGGCTGCTTGGTCATTTCCTTTAACCAGATGGA